AAACAAAAATATAACGCACTCAATCAACAGCATCAGAAAAATAATGAATTTCTCCAACATGTCTAGTCATCAAATCTTTCATATTATATATCCTACTCAATTTGTGCTATTGTATTTGTACAGAAAATCATAAAATTAATGGCACTAAGGAGGTTTTATCAAGATGGTTTTGATCAAACATGGATTTTTAAACAGCCCTTTTGAAAGAAGACGATTGGATTATAATGCCCGCTGATTACATCTTTTTCCTTTTTTCTGTTAGTATATGCATGCGGCGGGGAGTGCAGGTGTTTCAGGAGATAGTGTTGATTGTTTAATTCGAAACAAAGACGCTTCTCTTCAATAGGTATCAGGGATGTCTAACCCAACAATCATTGAATTGTGAATCATGAATCACATATCTGATAAACTAGAAAGATTTAATTATCTGAAAATATGGCAGTGCAACAACACTCTTTTCTTACTATGTAAAACCTGAGGTCCAATTATTTCTTCTGCTCATCATTCAAGCAAAGTTAACCCAAACCAAGATAGTCCTTGTTGCAGTAGTTACAGGTTTTCATTATATCTCACGCAACTTTTTATCACCTTGTCCTCCATCAATCAATTGCTATAACTGATACCTTATAACCACTGTCTTGGCCATATGTACTCTTCACAAACTTGTCATCTCTAGTCTTGCCACTCATGCATCTTTGTATCGTTGTTGCATATGCCCATTTGATGCACTGGCCATTACTTGAGGTATCTCAATCTCTTTTACCAGAGTTTTGTTGTCAATAGAGTAGATGCCTAATCAAAGTCATCTCCATCTAGATTCTAGAATGCCTCTTATTGATGCATCTACTAGACTTATTTCTTCTTTGTAATAAGCATGGCAAATTAAGTATATCACCATGCCAAATATATGAACATGCACTAAGTCTATGTTGGAGGAAATGGGATGGAATGGATGCCCATTCTAGCTTTCCATTTCCTTTCCCACTTTGGGTACAACAAATGAGGGTTGGAATGCATCCCACAACTTGTTGTAATGACCATTCCATTATATGAAGGAGAAAATGGCATTCCATTCCATTCCACCTTGCTTTCTATTCCCACTCACTTTCCGTTCTTGCATATCAACCACTGGAATCTTTGAAGCATGGATATGGATATGTGATACCTTGCATTCCATTCCCATTCCCGATAAGACAAAAGATACATGAATATTTGGAGTTGGGAAAATGGGGGGCCTATACCATACATTCTGCTGCCTCATGATGACTGCACAAAGGCAACCCAAGAGCATAACAAAAAGAATGCTACCAGTGCCAGGTTACAAGTGCAGGATGCAATTGGAGCCAAACTCTATTATCTACAACCAATTCTAAAGCCACGAGCATGATCCCGGAAAGCCAGTCTGTCCTTCCTTTGTTCAAGGTTGGAACTATTGGAATTTACTTGAGCTAAGCGACAATTTCAATAACTTAGGCTTGAGTCAACAAAATGATACTGCTGGGCCCATTTAGGTGGTTGGAGAGTCAAATAAGTCATTAAAGCCTATCAAAGTAAAATTCATAACAAAAAGTTTTATAAATTCCTCTAAAACTATACAACAAAGCTAATCTTAGGCTTAAAGCATACCCTCAACACTGGATCTCCACTTTAGAAACTTAAGAATGATCAAGCTCACCCAAAGGGTCTGTAAAAAAACTGATGTATTATTGATTGATATATTGATTTATATGCTGTCTATTACAAATGGTTCCTTATATAGATGTAGGTGTAGTGGATGGTGGTAGTGGTGTAGGGGGTTAGGTTTACTGGAGTAGGTGAGGTGGTAGTGGTGTAGTGGGTTAGGTTTAGTGGAGTAGGTGAGGTGGTAGTGGTGGTAGGTGATGGTAAATTCTAACAGCCCCCCGCAAACTCAAGGAGGATAGAAACTAACCAACTTGAGTTTGAAGAGAGAAACAAAACAAGAAAATACATAAAAATAAAAAAGGATAGGAGACACTGTATGGTCGTGTCAGACCGTTGGTGAAGACACTGAATGGTTGTGTCATAACGGTGTAGAGGACACTGTATGGGGGTGTCATAACCATGTAGAGGACAGTTTATGGGGTCATGTCGGACCGTTGTAGAAGACAGTTTATGGGGTCATGTCGGACCGGTGTAGAAGACCGTTTACGGGGTCATGTCGGACCGTTGTAGCAAACAGTTTACGGGGTCATGTCGGACCGTTGTAGCACACACTATTGTGACAGTTGTGGTGACAGTTTACGGAGTCTTGCTGGACCCTTGTAGAAACTAACCGGAATCAATGTCGGGACAGTTTACAGAGTCTTGTCAGACCCATAAAGGAGCTAACCGGAATCAAGGTCGGGACAGTTTACAGAGTCTTGTCAGACCCATAAAGGAGCTAACCGGAATCAAGGTCGGGACAGTTTACAGAGTCTTGTCAGACCCATAAAGGAGCTAACCGGAATCAAGGTCGGGACAGTTTACAGAGTCTTGTCAGACCCATAAAGGAGCTAACCGGAATCAAGGTCGGGACAGTTTACAGAGTCTTGTCAGACCCATAAAGGAGCTAACCGGAATCAAGGTCGGGACAGTTTACAGAGTCTTGTCAGACCCATAAAGGAGCTAACCGGAATCAAGGTCGGGACAGTTTACAGAGTCTTGTCAGACCCATAAAGGAGCTAACCGGAATCAAGGTCGGGACAGTTTACAGAGTCTTGTCAGACCCATAAAGGAGCTAACCGGAATCAAGGTCGGGACAGTTTACAGAGTCTTGTCAGACCCATAAAGGAGCTAACCGGAATCAAGGTCGGGACAGTTTACAGAGTCTTGTCAGACCCATAAAGGAGCTAACCGGAATCAAGGTCGGGACAGTTTACAGAGTCTTGTCAGACCCATAAAGGAGCTAACCGGAATCAAGGTCGGGACAGTTTACAGAGTCTTGTCAGACCCATAAAGGAGCTAACCGGAATCAAGGTCGGGACAGTTTACAGAGTCTTGTCAGACCCATAAAGGAGCTAACCGGAATCAAGGTCGGGACAGTTTACAGAGTCTTGTCAGACCCATAAAGGAGCTAACCGGAATCAAGGTCGGGACAGTTTACAGAGTCTTGTCAGACCCATAAAGGAGCTAACCGGAATCAAGGTCGGGACAGTTTACAGAGTCTTGTCAGACCCATAAAGGAGCTAACCGGAATCAAGGTCGGGACAGTTTACAGAGTCTTGTCAGACCCATAAAGGAGCTAACCGGAATCAAGGTCGGGACAGTTTACAGAGTCTTGTCAGACCCATAAAGGAGCTAACCGGAATCAAGGTCGGGACAGTTTACAGAGTCTTGTCAGACCCATAAAGGAGCTAACCGGAATCAAGGTCGGGACAGTTTACAGAGTCTTGTCAGACCCATAAAGGAGCTAACCGGAATCAAGGTCGGGACAGTTTACAGAGTCTTGTCAGACCCATAAAGGAGCTAACCGGAATCAATGTCGGGACAGTTTACAAAGTCTTGTCGGACCCATCCCCTGATGCCTTTCTTAATAAAATTTTTGTTACTTGTTCAAAAATGTATCAAAATGATTATTTTTACTGAGATGTTGAAATTTTATGTTTTCATTCTTTCATAACTTGTTTAGACTGCTTATATTTGTAGGAGTTGCGTGCATTTAGGTTAGTTTCATATCTAAGGTCTCTGGCAGCCTTAAATCTTTTGAATTGTCGTTTTATATAGTTTGTGCTTGAAGGAATTCAATTTATTATACTTCACTTCTTTAATGGCTCCATATAGTTCAAAATTATGTGGGAATTGCCTAGTTTAATGTGCAAGGGTTTGACTGCATTGCATACTCCTAGTTTGTGCATGTTTTGTGGGGTTTACATTGGCGGGATGTGAGACCCTCATCATGCATTTCATACATTATTAATTATTTTTGGTGATTGTTAAGTATTAGTGTGTAAGGGTAGTTATGTCATTTGCTCCTTTAGTCTTTTATTATAAGTATGTGTAACCTAAATATGTTTTGTAGTGAGAAATAAACACAGCAGCAGTTCTCTCTCTTTTCTTCATCTCATTCTTTTCTTTCTTTTATGCGAAGACAACAAGAGCACCCAGCAGAAGTCTTTTACCACAGAACCGGAAGGTGAGAATGCGTATGCCAGCTTCCAGGGATTGCTCGCACTAGCCCGTATAACTGGTTCTAATGCTGATGAGGCTCGTGGAGCCTGCAAGAAGTGTGGGCGTGTTGGGCATCTCACCTTTCAGTGTCGGAATTTTCTTAGTGTTAAGGATGATAATAAGGATAAAGACCCGGATGCAATTGAGGCAGCAGTTTTGTCGGGGTTGGATAAGTTGAAGGGTAATGGGGGTAGGAATAAAACTGCAGCTGAGAGCTCAGAGGAAAGTTCCGAGGAGGAGGAGAGCGAGAGTTCAGATTCTGACTATGATTCCGAAATTGAGAAGGCTATTGCGAATAAGTATGGAAAGAAGGGTAGTGGCAAATTGAACTCATCAAGAAAGAAGAAAAAGGATTCGGATGATGATGATGAGTTAGATTCTAGGGATAGGAAGAAAAGGGGTAGGTCAAAGAAGAGGAGAAGGTATGTGTAGAAAATTCTAGCAGACTAGGTTGAGGTCCGGCGGACGGCCAAGGTGAGGTTGCCGCCCGCCGGTGAAGCGAAAAATACAAAGTTCTTAACCTTGCTCTGATACCATGTAAAAAAACTGATGTATTATTGATTGATATATTGATTTATATGCTGTCTATTACAAATGGTTCCTTATATAGATGTAGGTGTAGTGGATGGTGGTAGTGGTGTAGGGGGTTAGGTTTAGTGGAGTAGGTGAGGTGGTAGTGGTGTAGTGGGTTAGGTTTAGTGGAGTAGGTGAGGTGGTAGTGGTGGTAGGTGATGGTAAATTCTAACAGGGTCATTTGCTCAAAACCTGAAGGGCAACAAGTTTGGACTATCTAGTTGCAAAATGACATGACATTGCAAGGCTCATCTTACAGTGAAGCCACAAAACTGCATAGTGACCTCTTAAGTCTAAGATTTTTTATTCACCTGGATAGAAATAATCAACTTATCCAAAATCTGAAGCTGAATAACATGTGCTAACCAACTCTTAAAATGAGTTAATCTAGTTATAAAGCCCACTAACATGAATTCAGAATTCAAACCACCATATCCATAGTGCTTATAGCATACCTGTTGCTCCATCAAACCATCCCAAAGTTTCATTAAGGCCATTAAACTGATCCCCCATGACTAGTTGGCATAAATTGTTAGGTTTTCTCACACGCTCACATACATGATACAAAATTCAGCTCCTCTTCACTAAGAACTTCATTTGTTACACATTTTCAAACATCTTTCAACAACCTAACTTATGTCATACATTGCAAAACCCACAACCACATGTTTACTCACCCATAATATTTGTCTTTCCCCCATATATCAGAATCACCAAAGTACACTTTATACCCAAGCAAGCTGCATTTGAAATGCACAAAAAAGAACATGGAACTCTTTCATTCTCTACACCACCAGATCAATAATCAAATAATATCTTCTAGTTCTCATCCCTTAGTTTTTCTTTACAAGACAAAGCAGCAACATATATAACTCTGTTATGAGCTTTTTAAGAGAAAAATATAAAGAAGGGAGCAAAGAAAATCAAGAGCATGACATATATCTGTAGTATGTATAATGCTTTTAGCCTTTTACATTATTATGTTAATACTACTTCCAAAAGTAAATGGAGAAGTCATGCATACTAATCATACTAAATTTCATCATTCTTGGTTAGGTTAAAAGAACACCATTCTCACTATGAAAATGATCTTATCAGAATCTAACTACGCCTAAACCCTATAATGCCACGTTTTAGATTGTGTCATAATTCATTCCCTATCTTTTTTCAATTTCAAATCCGTGCTCCTTAACAGGGTAGTGTAAATTTTGTTATTGTTGCAGATAAAAATTTGCAATCAAATAGTTCTCTGATAATAAAATAATTGATATCATCAGCAAATATGAAGTCAATATAAAATTTGAATATAGACAAGAAATCGCGAGGAAAAAAATATAAGAAGCAACAAAACACCTCAAATGCTGCCCCTTGCCCACCATTGCAAGCCAATTCTTGTTCTGTTTCCGAAACTAACATGAGTTTTCGCTCATCAACTATCTTGCTCATTTCTGTGACCAAGGTCACGTGCTTTGAGACATTGCCATGCATTTTTCTGTATTCTGGGTAATTGTCAACAAATTTGGCCATGTCTTCTGCAAAAACTCAAAGGATTTGACAACCAATAAAATATTAGCTATTGCTATACTTCAACCATTATTTAGACAGTAACTGATGGTATTAATTAACAACAATTTAAACCTATTGTGCTGATTTTCAAATTTACTTCATACAAACCTATTGTCTGGATCTTTTGGTTACTTTTTGCAACTTGCTGAAAGTCATCCACCATCCGCTTTATATTCAATCCAATGTCTCCAAAATTTTCATACATATTAACTTTAAAAAAGGCATCTTGCTCTGATGACAGCACAACCTCCTGTAAGCATGAATGACAAAAAATTGACTCATCATGAGATGAGATTGTAGAAATAAGAATGTGTAACAAATTGTGATTTATCTAATTTCAACCTGCTGATCCTTCGAAATTTTGCCAATGCTTCTCAAGTCCACTTTATTGTCTTGAATGCCTATCAACTCATGAACCATAGCCTGAGAAAATTGTTGTCAATGGATGAGCTCCATTTAATATAATATCTAACCAACCACCAAAAAATTTAGAAAAATAAATCTTAAAGAAAAAATAAGCACTCCTCCTATCTAACACAGGTCGTGACAAGTTAATAGTCATATTCCTTAAGTACCTGATATGTCCACTGATTCAGCAATGGTGTAACAGGGTCATCCCTCCTATCAATAACTAGCAACAAAGGAGAAATTTCAGTTCTTCTAAAATCAAAAAGGCCACTCTCTTGTTGGTACATCAGCTTCTGTTACATGCAGGGGAAATCAAACAAGTTAATTTTTAATTACGGTAAAATCTATAAAGTGTCAGCATTCAGAAATCCAAGACAGTTGACTGAAGCTTGTGATGGTTAGATGCATATAAATATAATACCACAAGATAGATTCTATGTTCGTTCAGGGAAAAATAGACAAGCATGTAAACTCATCAAACATTTGAATCCACATTAAATTTTAAAAGCATTTATATAAAGTATCCAAGCAATATCTTGCACTTTAGCAATTTCTCACCGCTGCCTCTTGTGCAACCCTTTTAGCGATATCAGAGGTCCGCTGATATCTAATGACAGGTCTTCGTTTTAATGCCAAGAAAATTGCTGCAATACCATCAACAACTCGATCACAGAAGTGCTGCAAGCCTGAAGGATCTACGACTGCTGGCAACATATACATGGGATTTGAAGGCATATTTAAAGTGAAATGGAAAGGGTCAACAGCAACAAAATCTGCAAAGAATTCCTGCAAAATAAATGTAAACAAATAATAAATTATATCCAATATCATGTTTCAAACCAAGAACAACAGTGAATGGTATCATTCTTACCACTATGACAAACACAATGGCAGAAAACATGTGGCTCAACACACCGGATAATATCAAGCGATCATGAAGTTAGTATGTGTAAAAAAAAAGAAGGGAAAATTTCACTCTAACCCCTTGTGGTTTGGCACATGTGCACATAAACCCCTAATGTTCAAATATAAGCAGATAACTCCCTTGGTTTTTTGACTGAAGTGCACCGTCAAAATTCTCATCCAAATTAAACTAGACGTGCAACTCATGCACCAATGTTGAGAGTGAGTATGAATGAAATAATTTTTTTTAGACAAAAGTACCCTAAGAAATTTTCAAAATTACAAAAATTCCTTTGTCTTCTTCCTCTCCTTACTATTTTTTTTCTCTCCTCCTTGGTCCCACTGTTAGATAGCTTCATATATATTGTTGGGCTAATTTCCTAATAGCTTAGGCTTTTGGGAAAATTGGTAGCGTCAGAGCTCTGGTTGAAAGAAGTTTTGGGTTCAAGTCTCTCCGTTAGCATTTGATATTATGTCCCTGTTTGATTTCTTCTCTTTATTTGGTTGTCTATTTCTCCTTTTGTTTCTCTCCATGTGCAAGACAGAGTTGCACTTGAGGGAGGGTGTTAGATAGCTTCATATACATTGTTGGGCCCATTTCCTAATAGCTTAGGCTTTTGGGAAAATTGGTACATAACACCCACCACCACCCCCCATCCTGCAGAGTGAGTTTGAGAGTCTATGGTGGGGGTGCTTCTGAGTTAAATCGAACAAAAACTTATTATCATTCAAGTGGATGGTGAATCTAGAGGAGGCTTAGTGGACATCATTGAGCGAAATCGACTCAGGAGTTTCACAATGAAGTTAGATTTGGGGGGGGTCTCATGGGCAATACAAGCTCTGCGGCAGGTTTGGGGGCAGCGCAGTGTTCGCTCTTTTTTCACGAAGTACACAAGTAGTTCAGCAGTCTTTTGGCTTCAAAAATACAGCAACAAAGGAGGTGTTTTTGTTGAGATGTCAAAATGGGAGGCTGGGGTGAAACGTAACAACATTATCATTCCGGCAGGGATTGATGGTCAGGGGTGGATGGCAATGGCCAAGATGCTTGAACGTGTTATCCATGGAGACTATAAGGTTCAGGATGATGAAAAAGAGATGAGGACCAAAGCCAAGGGAGGACATAATAGCAGTAATCAGTTTGTATTCAGAGCTCGCCGAGGAAACACAGAGGGGAATATGAATCTTCCTCAGAAAACAGGGGCAAACAGAGACGTTTCATATGCCGATGTGCTTAAGTCTAAATCAGATAGTTTGGGAAGCAACATTTCTTTTGTGGAGATGCACAAGGTTGTGGTCTGCACCAGAACTGATTTCTTCAATGGGTGGACCCAGATTGAAAAGGCATTAAGTCGCTCTTTTAAAACTTCTATTGTTCTAAAGCCTTTTCAATTAAACAAGGCTCTGCTTTTGGCTAAAAATTCTGAGGAGGCTGATTACTACGGTGCTCAAGGCATGTGTTTCTTCGATAAGAGCATAGCAGTAAGGTTGGAAAGATGGTCAGAGGAGATGCTCAGTCGGGATACTGTCATCGCCTCAAATGGAGGTTGGGTCTCTGTCAATGACTTGCCTTTTAATCTTTGGAATGATAGGGTTTTTGAATGGATTGGGTCGAAGTGTGGTGGTTTGATAGAGGTGGATCGTAGAACCAGAACGTTTGAAGATCTCTTTGAGGCAAGGCTGAAAGTCAGAGGCTATGGTAACGGATTCTTACCTGCGACGATTCATGTTCAGTACGATGATATTTCGGTGGTCGTTCGACTGAAGGCTCTATCAAAGCCTTTCGGAAGACCGGAATTTCATCGGCCATGGAGGTTTTCAGGCGACTTGGGTGCCGGAGAAGAGGTAGGTGAGGAGTCTCAGGGGACAGGCCAGCCACGTGGCAGAATGGAGATAAGTAGGCAGTTGGGGGATCTGATCGAGGGGGGCGAGAGTAATGGAGGAAGAACAAGAGGTGAAATGGGCAGTCAGGTTGGGGGCCTTAATTTTAATGGGCCCAGTCAAGAGTTGGGCTCAGCCCATGATCTGTTAGTATCAAATAAAATTAAGCTTGTTGGTGGACTGGAATCATTAGGCCCAAATGCTGGTCAAATATTTAAGGAGAAGGGCCTAGGCCTCACGGGGAACTTATCTGCTGATTTTATTCATGAAGAGAGGGACCCAAATTTATTTGATGGCCCAAGGGCTTCTCTCCCTATACCATCGGAGATTTCGGGGCTGGAATTCAAACGGATTGCAGATTACGACAGTGAGGAGGGTCTTCGAAGACGCTCATCATTAATGGAGAGAAGTCGATTCTCATCATGCGATGTACCAGACCCAGACGATGGTATTCCACAATTCTTGTCGCCTATTCGCGGAATTCTGAATTCTGAGGAAGCTCAATTAGGGTTGGCTGACATGGTTGATAGGTCTGATGGGGATTTTCAGAGATTAAAGGGGATATCAGAGGAAGGGGTTGATGATTTGTTGGAGATTATTAGGGACTCGGAAAAGCAGTTTCTTGAGGTGGATGAGGGTCACTTTCAAATACATGAGGTTCTGCAAAATCTGGAGGAGTATGGTTCTTCTGAGAGTTCGGAGGCGACTGTTGAAGTGGAAAACAGTGGGGATGAGCCAGATGATAATGACTGGGATCTCAATAGTTTTTTTAATGCAGCGTGCACTTCTGAGGGAGAGGATTTCGGAAGGGTTTCTGATGCATTGAACCAGGTCAATCTGTCCTTTAACCAAGTGTGCACTTTTTCATCTTATCATTTGGGGGCACAAGATCTTCGAGATTGTTCTTTTGCTGGGGAAGGGGCTAGGGGTGGGGTTTCTTTGCTTCCTCTGTCCAATTCTTTTTGTCCGGGTCGTCAAGTCTCTTTAGTTGACACTGTTGTACAAGGGGTTACTTCTGAAATTCCGAGGGCCACAGTGAATGAGTCTATCATAGTGTCCGAGTCCTTACATGCTATTATCACTCAAGGTCAGGTGTTTGACAATCAGGGTGGGGTTTCGGGTAATCATTTTGACAAGGGGAGCCAGGTTTCTAGTGAAGGGAAGGAGGAATCAAAGAGATGGCTGAAGGAGTTGAGCAAGTTTGAGACTTGCCCGATTGAGGAGAATGAGGTGTCACACTTTTTGCAATTACTTCAGGTCATGGGTTTGTCATTAGTTCAAATTAAGGATACGTTTGGGCCTTTTAGAAGATGTAATACGTCTACGAGGGAGAAAGGAGTTAGGAAGGAAGGTGAGAGTAGTAAAAAGGGGGTTAGGGAATTAAGGAACTTAGAAAGTTCGGTTAATTATGAGAATAGGAGAGGGGTGGTTAGGGGTGGCAATGTTTCTCTATGAAGATAATTAGTTGGAATGTGAGGGGTTTGGGTTCTCGGAAAAAGAGGAGTGTTATTAAGGATTTTCTTAGGAGTCATCAACCGGACATTGTTGTTTTGCAGGAATCTAAAGTAGAAGTGTGTGATAGGAGGTTCATACAAAGTCTTTGGGGAGTTAAGGGGGAGTTTTAATAGTGTGGGATGAGAGAGTTGTTTATGAGTGTGAAACCATAGTGGGGGATTTTTCATTATCTGTTAGGTTTAGGAATCTGGACAATTCGGAGTGGTAGTTGACTAGGGTTTATGGACCTAATAGGCCTTCTAGGCGTAGGGTTTTTTGGGAGGAGCTATATGGTTTATTTGGGTTGTGCTCTCCAAATTGGTGTTTAGGAGGGGACTTTAATGTGGTTAGGAAGGTCTTAGAAAAGCTTAATGGGATTAGAACGTCTAGGGGAATGAGAGACTTTGATTTGTTTATTCGAGAGAGTGAGTTGGTGGATCCTCCTTTGTGTAATGCAAGATTCACATGGTCTAATCTTCAAGAGAATTTGGTGTGTTGCAGATTGGATAGATTTTTATATTCTTTGGGGTGGGAAGGGGTTTTTCCCAATTTAAGACAAGAATCACTACCTAGATTGGTTTCAGATCACTGTCTTATTGTGATTGAAAGTTGTCCATTAAAATGGGGTCCGGTGCCTTTTAGATTTGAGAACATGTGGTTGGAACATACATCTTTTAAACGAAATTTTGAGGAATAGTGGACGAATGCTAGTTGTCATGGTTGGGAGGGTTTTAAATTTATGAGAAAGTTGAAGTTAGTAAAAGAGAAGGTGAAGTGCTGGAATAGGGAGGTTTTTGGGAATTTGGAGTCTTCAAAAAAGGAGGTGATGAGTAGAATAGTAGAGTTAGACGCTTTGGAGTTGCAAGGGGCGTTAGCTGAGTCTTTTAGGAGGGAAAGATCGGAGTTGAGATTAAAATTAGAAGAGCTGACTTTTCGGGAACAAGTTTCTTGGGCTCAAAAAGCAAAAATCAAATGGTTGATGGAAGGGGATGTTAATTTAAAATTTTTTCACAGGGTTGCAGATGGGCAAAGAAAGAAGAAGTTCATTAAGAGATTGGAAATAAGCCCAGGGGTAATGGTGGAAAGGGAGAATCAAATTGTCAGCGGCATTTACGATTTTTATTCTAAGCTTTATTTGAAGGAGGAGATGAGTAGACCAGGGATTGAAGGACTGGAGTGGGGAACCATTGATCCGACAATTGCAACTTGGCTTGAAAAGCCTTTTGATGAATCGGAAATTCGAGAGGCGGTCTTTGATTGTGAAAGAGACAAAGCTCCAGGTCCGGATGGTTTCTCCATGGCGGTCTTTCAAGATTGTTGGGAGGTGGTGAAAGGGGATTTGTTGAAAGTATTTTTGGAATTTCATAATTTAAGTACAAATGCTACGTTCATCTGTTTGATTCCTAAGAAAGTGAATGCTGTTAGAGTGGGAGATTTTAAGCCTATCAGTTTGGTAACGTCGTTGTATAAGATTTTGGGGAAGGTTTTATCAAAAAGACTGAGGATGTCTT